AAAGAGACAATACATGGTGATAAAAGGTTCAGTTCACCAGAAGACATAAAAAGGCTGATTCTTTATGCACCTCACAAAAGACATCCCTCCAGAAACAGAAAGTAAAGCATCTAAGCAGTACAGATTTTTCCTGGAAGAGGGTAAGTGGGTTTGATTCTTCTGTTCTTGCGGCAAGTCAAGGTCCTGTGCCTCTGGAGGCATGGACATCCCAGGTACCTCAGCATAATGCCAGTGCTTAAAAACACATTTTGCCTACAACCCAGGCTCTAAACATATCCAACTGCTTCTTCTGGGGCTCAGCCAAGAAGCTATGGTTGTCCCCACCCTGGAGGAGCAACGACTCTCTTGGGCTTAAGGAAAGATAACATGTCTGTATGGGGTTTTCTAGATAGAGCTGCGTATATGCTACACGTGATCATCAGTTGGAGGAATTTCAAGGGTAGATTTGGCACCTATACTTCTTTGACCTTTAGAACCTCATCCTTGTGTGACAAGTGGTTCCAATGTCATCCCATTTCAGTGTGAGAGTGGTGCAACACTATGGTTTTCAACTTCCTTTTCTTCAAATTTGGCTTATGTAGGAGCATGCACATTTATCAGATAAAGGCTGAGCTCCAAATCTGCTGAAAATGAGGATTCCACCACCTCAGTGTCCTCTTTAAGGGAATCAATGGGACAAGCTAAGAACCAAGTACCAGGGACAGCTGGTAGTCTGATATTTATCAGATGGACCCACTGTTTATGCAAAGGCACACTTCTTTGCCAGGGTGGCCAGGAAGCTCACAGTCATGACTATGAACCCCTGCCTCAGGCATTCATTTGTTTACCCCCTGGTGTCATCTTATTGTTCTGACTCTTGTGTTCCCTTTACCTTCATTTCCTTACATATTTGTTAAAGTCTTCTTGCACTACCCAGTTTGTCATGTCAGAACTTCCTGGAGAAAGGCAAATTATAAATAATTAATGAAGCGTGACTTCTCAAAATGCTACACATCAAGGTATGTGTTACCTGTTGACTTGTTGAAGACAAACCCCTAGGACCTGTGGATGTCACCTTACTTGGAAATAGGGTCTTTGCTGATGACCAGGTTAAGATGAGGTCATTAGGATGGGCCTCAATCAAACATGACTAGTGTCCTTATAAAAAGAGTAAACTTGAACCCAGAGACAGATGTGTAACAGGAAAGCACCAGGTGAACGTTGGAGTTATGTTGTCACAGAGCAAGGAACTATCAGAAGGCAGAGAGAAGCCTGGAGCAGATTCATCTCTAGTGCTTTCAGAAGGAATGTGGTCCTGCTGACACCTTGATTTTGGACTTCCCAACCTCCAGAAATGGCATGATAACTTTCTATTGTTTAAACCAATTAGATCTTGGTACTTTGTCACAACAGCCTAGGAAATGAATACAGTATTCAAAATGACTTTACTTGATACGTGGTTTAACTTTAAAAATAATAACAGGGGACTTATCTGATGGTCCAGTGGTTGAGAATCTGCCTTCCAATGCTGCGGACACAGGGTCAAGCCCTGGTTAGGGAACTAAGATCCCACATGCCGCAGGGAATTAAGCCTGCATGCCACAACCAAGAAATAAAGCAGCCAAATAAATAAGTAAAGAAAATACTTTAAAAATAGTTATATATTTATATTACATTTATATTACTGAATATTAGAAAAAATAGACCAAGTGACTCCAATCAGTGGCCTTTAGGTATGTCATTGTTTAGGACTAGGCGGATGTAGGTGTGTTGCAAGCCAAGAGCGGTTTCGTTGGCACATGAGGGGCCATGCGATAGAGTGGTTAGGGACAGACACCCTGCAGCCAGGTTTTTAAGATTCCTTAACCTCTCTGTGTCTGGGTTTTCTCTATACAATAATGTTGATCATAGCAGTACCTACTACACAGGGTTGTTTGGGTGATTAAACGTTAAGATTAACATGTGTGGTACAAAACGCAGCCTGGGAGCTGATTCAGGGGTTTATAAGTGCTGGCTCTTCATTGTATTACCCAGAAATGTAAATATCTAGTGATCGTAGCCCACACAAGAAGGAGGGCAGTCCCAGTAAGCCAGGAAGGGTGCTTGACCACGGCATGCTGCTCCCACTCTACCAGGGCCTCTGGAAGCTTCCTACACAATGGCACACTACCTTTGGTTTCATTTAACACCTTGTTCCAGAGACATTTAAAAGCCGTTATTAATTTTTCACATGGAGTGGACACCAGCAGCACAGACTGGAGCCCTGTCGAGTTGAGCAGCGGTCAGGGGAGCCAGTCTGGGTGTAGAAGGAACAACGGCCCAGGAATTGTTACCCTCTCCACCAGCTGACCTTGAGCAAGGGCTTGCTTTGAGCCGGGTGCTCCTCTAAGCTGACTCTCCATCCAGCCTTTTAATCCTTATAGTGACCCTCAGGGCAGAGTGCTCTTCTTTTAAAAAAAAAAAAAAAAATCATTTATTTAGGCTGAGCTGGGTCTTTATGGCTGCACCGGCTCTTCTCTAGTTGCGGTGAGCGGGGGCTACACCTTAACTGTGGTGCCCAGGCTTCTCATTGTGGTGGCTTCTCTTGTTTGGAGCGTGGTTGCTCCGAGGCATGTGGAATCTTCGCAGATTAAAGGGTTCAACCCATATCTCCTGCAGTGGCAGGCAGATTCTTTACCACTGAGCCACCAGGGAAGCCCCAGAGTGCTATTCTTATCTCCACTTGAGAGATGGGCGAAGGAAGCCCAGAGAGGTTAAGTAACCTGCCCAAGGTCACAGGGCTGGTAGGCGGAAGGGCAGGATTTGTACCAGGTGGTCAGGTTGCAGAATCTGCCAGGTCTGTTTTCTGCCAGGGTTGCTGGGCGGGTGGGCTGTCAGCCCAGAGCTGCTGGTGGCCCTCTCACCACCTCTAAGAGCTTTTCTGAGAATGAAGGGCAAAAAGGAGAAAGCTGAGGTGGAAGGCGGGGAGAGGCAGACTGCTGACACATTTTAATCACTGGGTCCAGCTGTGCCCAGTGATCACACCACCTTCGGAAGTTCATTTACATGGATTGATGTGGACGCTTTCCCTTCAGTCTACTCTTTTTATCACTTGCTATATAAAATGCCTTGTCTTGGACTTCCCTGGTGGTCCGGTGGTTAAGAATCTGCCAGCCAATGCGGGGGACACAGGTTTGATTCCTGGTCTGAGAAGATTCCACCTGCTGCAGAGCAACTAAGCTCGAGAGCCACAACTATTGCAGCCCTTGAGCCCTAGAGCCTGTGCTTTGCAAGGAGAAGAACCACCACAGTGAGAAGCCTGCGCCCCGCAACTAGCCTGTGCAGCAATGAAGACCCAGTGCAGCCAAAAATAAAAGTAAAAAAAAAAAAGATAAAACATCTTGGCTTGTATTAGTATAGTGCTTTCTCCCAGTTGGGTGGGGCTTGATAAGGGTTAATCAGCGAATGCCTGGGTGCCCCCTGCTCACAATCTCTTGGCCAGACCTCCAACCATGACCCCCAGAGTCAGAGCTCTTGAGGGTCAACACAGCTCACACCCAGAACTGAAAGGAGGGTCCCTCGTCCACCCTGGGATGGGGAGCAGGCTTCTGCTCAGTACCGCAGCCCCCCCCACCCGCCCCCACCCGGAGCTCCCCAGCCAAGTGGTACTCCACTTGCCCAGTGGCCTTGCTTGGTGATGAAGCCAGTTTTGGCTCCTTCCCTCTCCAGCCCTCTTCCAGGAACCACCTTCCAATTAGATGACTTGTTCTGGAATCCTCATCTCAGAGTCTGGTTCTGGGGAATCTAAACCAAGACAATATTTACATAGCAGGGAGCAAACGCTCAGTAAGTGGAAGGATTGCGGCTCCTTCCTCTACCTCCTACCATCTGCCTGAGCTGCTTGGAAAAGAGCTTCAAGTTTGGAGTGCACTGGTCCAGGCCTGGGTGGGGCTAGTGGTAAAGAACCCGCCTGCCAATGCTGGAGATGCTGGAAACAAGGGTTTGATCCCTGGGTGGGGAAGATCCCCCTGGAGCAGGGCATGGCAACCCACTCCAGCACTCTTGCCTGGAGAATTCCATGGACAGAGGAGTCTGGTGGGCTACAGTCCATGGAGTCCCAAAGAGCTGGACATGACTGAAGCGACTTGGCATGCATGCATGCATATATAAACTATATAATGTATATAAGTACATTATAAGTAAACATATAGTAAATATAATAATTGCTTATAGTGGTGGCTGGCTCATGGTACGTGCTCAATCATTAGACACCCTGATTTCATTAGAAGGGTATCAGATGAATCTTTCACCATAAACTCCTTTGTACCTTTAGAATGTAGTATCATCTGTTACCCATATAAAGTAAGAAAATTCATTTAAAAGGAAAAAGAAAAAAAAAAAGAAAATTTCAATCATAACCACATCTTAGCTACAGACCCAGAAAGTAACTATGGTCATTAATTCTATGTGTCCACTCAACTGAGTCGTGCAGAGTCCAGCTATTCAGCCAAAGCCAAAGCCAGTAGAGGAAGCCCGAACACAGCAACAAAGACCCGGCACAACCAAAAATAATAAAATAAACCCACTAATTCTAAAAAAAGTAAAAAAGTAAATTTCTCCCTCTATATGTGTGCGTGTATATATATATATACACTTCCTATTGGTTCAGTTTCTCTGGAGACTTTTTTCTTTTTCAAAGTTCTTCTTTTTTTTTAATGTGGACCATTTTTAAAGTCTGTATTGAATTCACTACAACACTGCTTCTGTTGTATCTTTTGATTTTGGGGGGCCACAATGCATGTGGGATCTTAGTTCCCAGACCGGGAATAGAACCTGCACTCTCTGCCTTGGAAGTCAAAGTCTTAACCGCTGGACCACTAGGGAAGTCCTTCTCTGGAGACCTTGACCAATAATACATTTGCTAAAGATCAGCTCAGGCCTGGGGAAGGAGGGTGATGAAGCAAGGACTCCCCCTTCATGGCACCCCACTGAGAGGATGCCAGCCCAGTGCCAAGCCCAATCATGGACCCCAGAACTCTTACTTGAGCACGCCCTGTCTTGATCTGGGAACATGGTCGGGGGCTGGGGACTCAGGTGTGGCTCAGGTTTGCTGGGAATGAAGACCTCAGCGTTGTCCTTCCGCTTAGCAGACAAATTCCTTTCCTTTTTATTACCTGTAAAAACACAATTGTTTATATGTCAGACATTGAGTGTAAGCAGAGATGGCACACTCTGCCCAGGCATCTGTTTATTTGTCTGTTCACTTATTCATTCAACAAATATTAATGGAACCCCTGCTCTGGCACCATGCTAGTTTGGAATTAGAGGTGTGAATAATGCAGACAACAAAATAAGTTTGCTGGTTTAAATAACAGCTAAAAAAAAATAAAGAGTACAAGTGGGCTGTAAATTTGGCAAAAGAACTATGAAGGTTTGAACATGACCCAGGTTTGGGGAGGGGGCTTCCCTGGTGGCCCAGTGGTAAAGAACCCCCCTGCCAATGCAGGGGATGCAAGAGACACGGGTTCAATCCCTGGATGGGGAAGATCCCCTGGAGAAGGAAATGGCAACCCACTCCAGTATTTTTGCCTGGAGAACTCCATGGACAGAGGAGCCTGGTGGGCTAGAGTCCCTGGGGTCGCAAAGAGTTGGACATGCACACAAGTTTGGGGACAGTGGTTCCAGTGTTTTAGAACCAGCAAAGGTTTAAGAACAAGAGAAGACAGGGACTTTCCTGGTGGCCTGGTGGCTAATCCACGCTCTCAATGCAGGGCCCCGCGTTCAATCCGCGGTCAGGAAACTAGATTCCACATGCTGCAACTAAGAGTTCACATGCCATAACAAACAGCAAAGATCCTGAGTACTGCAACTTAGACCCAGCACAGCCAAATAAATAAATATTAAACAAAAAAGAACATGAGAGGACATGCTTGGGAAAGCGGGAAAGCAGTCCGGTGGGCAGCGAGGCAGGTGGCTAAGTGGACTAAAGAGAAAAATCAGGGAGAGAAGTGAAGTCCCTGGACTTGGGAACCCCCAGCCTGGGAAGGCAGAAAACCTCGGGAAGTTTCTGCTGAAATTCCGAGGAAATCCTGGGGTCTGTGATGGCCCAAAGGAGGGAAGCCCCAGAATCAAGGGCCCCGTGGGACTCTTGGCAGCTGAGGGTAGATAAGGGGGACGTGGGTGAAGTCTGTCTGATTTGCACTAACCTCTCTGCCATTCCCCCCATGACTTTGTGAAGGGCATATATTTCTCTACACTTTCTGAAGTGGTTGCTCCCTGGTTGTCCTGATACCCAGGGCCCAAGGGCAGACCTGTGTGTGAGACAGAATCCACCATGTCCAATGAGACAAGACGAAGAAAGGAGAAGGGCCAATGCTCAAATGGAGACTGACTGCCCAAGTGCTGAAAATACGCTGCTGATGGTAAGAATGACAGCTAGCATATATTCAGTTCAGCCTCCAGAGGACCCAAGAACTGGGTCAGGCCTTTGGCACACGCTTTCTCATATATTTCCCCGGCCAGCCATCCTAGTGAGTGGAGAGTAGGCAGAATAACGGACCTCAAAATTGGCTACATCCTAATTCCCGAAAGCTGTGAATGTGTTAGGCAACAAAGCAAAGGGGAATTAACTGTGCTAATCATCTGACCTTAAACTAGGGAGGTTATCTTGATTATCCTGCTGGACCCAATGTAATTACATGGGTCTTTAAAAGTGTGCTTCCCTTGTGGCTCAGCTGGTAAAGAATCCGCCTGCAATGTAGGAGACTTGGGTTTGATCCCTGGATTGGGAAGATCCCCTGGAGAAGGGAAAGGCTACCCACTCCAGTATTCTGGCCTGGAGAATTCCAAGAACTGTATAGTCCATGGGGTCACAAAAAGTCACACATGACTGAGTGACTTTCACTCACTTCACTTAAAAGTGGAAGAGGGACAAAGTTTCAGCTTGGGATAATGAAAAAACTTCTGGTGAAAGTGGTGATGGTTACATATAGTGTGAGTCTATTTCATGACACCAAATTGTGCTCTAAAATTTAAACAGTGAAGAAGGGACTTCCTTGGTGGTCCAGTGGTTAAGAATCCACTCGCCAATGCAGGGGACATGGGTTTGATCCCTGGTCTGGGAGGATTCCACATGCCGTGGGGCAACTAAGCCCATGGGCCACAACAAGAGAAGCCACCGCAATTAGACAGTAGCTTCCGAATGCAGCAACAAAGATTCAGGGCAGCCAAAAACAAATAAATAAATTTTTTTAAATGGTGAGGAAGGTAAAAGAATAGAAATGTTATGTATAGAATGTTGCTATATTATATACAGAATGCTATAATAATAAAGAAATGTTACATATATTTTTCACAATAAAACACACACAAGTGGAAAAGGGCTGCTGATGAGGAGGGTCAAAGGGAGATGTGAGAACAGAAGAAAGCCACAGAGAGGCTATGGTACCAGCTTTGGAGGTGGAGGAAGGGACCAGGAGCCAAGGTACACAGCAGCCTCTAGAAGCTGGAAAAGGCAAGGAAACAGGTTCTCCCCTGGAGCCTCCTGTTGACACTGTGATTTTAGCCCATCACACTTATGACCCACAGAACTGCTGCTGCTAAGTCGCTTCAGTCGTGTCCGGCTCTGTGCGACCCCACAGGTTCCTCCATCCCTGGGATTCTCCAGGCAAGAATACTGAAATGGGTTGCCATTTCCTTCTCCAATGCATGCATGCATGCTAAGTCACTTCAGTCATGTCTGTCTCTGTGTGACCCCATGGACAGCAGCCCACCAGGCTCCTCTGTACATAGGACTCTCCAGGTAAGAATAAGATAATAAATTTGCATTCTTCTGCTCATTTGCTACAGCAGCTGTAGAAAACTGATACATACTATTGCAGACTAAGGCTCTGAGGTTCAAGTCACTTTTCCAAGGTCACAGAGCTAGGAAGTGATAGAATCAGGATTTGAGCCCTCCCCTTAACCGCTTTTGGCTTCCCTGGTGGTAGAAAATCTGCCTGCAATGCAGGAGACCCTGGTTTGATCCTTAGGTCAGGAAGATCCCCTGGGGAAGGAAATGGCTACCCACTCCAGTATTCTTGCCTTGGAAATCCCACGGACAGAGGAGCCTGGTGGGCTACAGCCCATGAGGTCACACAGAGTCAAACATGACTGAGCAACTAAGCATGCACGCGTGCTTAACCACTTCATTGCCTTGCTACCGGCTCCCTCTTCTCCACAAGATGGCCCTCCAGCAGCTGCGGAGGTCTACCTTGGCCATCAGAAGGCTATACAAGGCTATTTCCTAGGGCACCATAGGACCAGACTCTTGGGGCAACCCTAGAACCCTCATGTCTTCATGGAAAGTAGGCTGGAACACTCATTTTGTACCGTGTTCCCCGCCCGCCCCTCCCTCCTTTCCCAGGCTCACTCAGCTCCAGCCACACTGGCCCTTTCTCTGTCCTCGGGTACCCCAAGCTCTTTCCCTGTTCAAACCCTTTATGCTTGCTGCTCCCTGGACCTGGAATGCTGTTCCCATCGCTGCCCCCCCTCCTCATTCCTGTCTCAATTTAAAGATCACCTCCTCTGAGAGGACTGTGCTCACCATTCCAACTACCAGCATCCTTCTCTGACCCTGGTTCCCCAGCCAGTGTCCTGTTTTATAATATTCACAACTTTCAAGACCATTGGGGTACCATTCTTTCCTCCTCCCTGAATTCCTAACCTGACCCTGACCCAACTCTCCCCTTTCCAGTTACTGGAAAAATAACTTCTGCTTTTCTCTATGCCACTTACTCACTTGCCCCTTGCTCACAAGGAGGATGAATGGGTGGGAGAGAGTTGGGGCAGGAAGCCATCAGGGCTCAGTCCTTCCCTCTGGGTGGTGGTGGGGTGGGGGGGTTTGCCCTCAGGTCACAAGGTCCCTTTCTAGACTCCATTAGCATCTGGGGCCAGAGGTTTGTCTACAGCGGAGGGTCAGTACTGCCTAGCCACCAATCCTATCAGTTGGAAAGGTGATCACTTGCTCCCCATCTATCCCATGGCTATCTCTCATTTGTTTCACAACTTAGAAGGGGAAACAGAGGGTCCTGGGATTACTTACTGGCTTCTCAAAGCCCAATCATCACTTTGTAATCTCATCTGGTTTATTTATTTAGCCTTAGGCAGGAGGAGAAGGGGACGACAGAGGATGAGGTGGTTGGATGGCATCACCGACTCAATGGACATGAGTTTGAGTCAACTCCAGGAGTTGGTGATGGACAGGGAAGCCTGGCGTGCTGCAGTCCATGGGGTCGCAAAGAGTCAGACATGACTGAGCAACTGAACTGAAAGGTTAAGAGCATAGACTCTGGGCTCAAACTGCTGCAGATTCACTTCTGCTCTGCTCCTTCCTGGCTGTGTGACCTTGGATGAGTTATGTGACATCTCTGTGCTTCATTCGCCCCATCGGCAAGACAAGTGCAATGACAAGACTTTCCTTGGGGTTGTAGTGAGGACTGAATGAGGGATTATATGGAAAGCCCTTGGAATAGTGGTTGGCTCCTATCAGTAACAACTCAGTGTTGGCAATTGTTATTATTTATCTGGTTATGTGCTAATTGTCAGGGTTCCCAGGTGGTTCCAGCGATAAAGAACCTGCCTGCCAATGCAGGAGATGTAAGAGATGTAGGTTTGATCCCTAGGTCGGGAAGATCCCCTGGAGGAGGGCATGGCAACCCACTCCAATATTCTTGCCTGGAGAATCCCCAAGGAGAGAGGAGCCTGGTGAGCTATAGTCCATGGGGTCGCTAAGAGTCAGACACAACTAAACAACTAAGCACGCACACACTTATTGTCTGTTTTCTCTGCTAGGATTACGTGATGTAGGAGAACGACTGGGCTCGTCCTGTCCTGGCATACTACCTGGGCCATGATACATGCCCAGTAGATGAATGAAAGAACAGCCCAGAACCAGGCACATCTTTTCAGGTTACTGCTGACTGTTCTGGAGTAAATGTTCAGGAGTTGCTCAGAACTCCAATCCCATGCTAGAGTCTGGGGGGACCTTGTAACAGGCCTCCTGCCTGCTCCCCGCTGTGGGAGCCTGTCTCCTCCTGAAGCTAAGAAGCTGCAGGTGAAAGCAGTGGCTGAGGGCAGTGGTAGGGGGCATGTGCGCTGCCCTCCACCCCCAACAGACAGCACCACGTTCAATGCGGGGCCTGCCAAGCAATCTGTTAAAAAATGTAAAATGGCAAAAAAATGAAGTTCTCTCTTTCCGCTTATGGGAAAGTATCACTCTTAAGGGCTTCCGCAGTGGCTCAGCAGTAAAAGAATCGACCTGCAATGCAGGAGACCCAGGTTTGATCCCTGGGTCAGGAAGATCCCCTGGAGAAGGGAATGGCTACCCACTCCAGTATTCTTGCTGGGAAATCCCATGGACAGAGGAGCCTGGGGGCAGGGAGGGGGGTGGCTACAGTCCATGGGGTAGCAGAGTTGGGCATGACTTAGGGATGAAACGACAGTGACTCTTAAATTGCCTGCGGTCCAACCGCTCTCCTTCAGTGGCCTGGTCTTTCACACCTGGAAGTGAATGTCATGCCCACACCCATCCCTGCCACACCCCCCATTTCCAGGGCAGGGGCCCAGTCAATCTCTTCATAGCCTTTCCCTCCATCTGTCCCCTTGGAGGAAACACAAGTCACAGCACAGATGCAGCCCCATGGGTCTCACTCAGCAGTGCATCAACACTACCCTGACCACCAAACCCTTTAGCAGGGGGGCATGAAAGTGAAAGTGAAAGTGTCAGTTGCTCAGTCGTGTCTGATTCTTTGGGACCCCATGGACTGTAGCCCACCAGGCTCCTCTGTCCATGATCTTCTCCAGGCAAGAAGTGGAGTGGGTTGCCATTTCCTCCTCCAAGGGAACTTCCTGATCCAGGGATTGAACCCAGATCTCCTGCATTGCAGGAAGATTCTTTACTGTCTGAGCCACCCAGCAGGTGGGGTGGGGGTGGGTGTGGGCAGAAGGGGCATAAGTCCTTGCTTTATTTGACAAAGATTCCCTGAATGACTTGAATGTGCCAGGTGAGGGCTGCATGCTGGAGAGGCAACAGAGGGGAAGAGCTGGACTGTGCCCTAGTGGCAGAGCTCACAGGCCAGAGGGGAAGAAAGGCAACTGGGGGCAGGGAGACCAGGGCCAGATGATGTTACAGGAGCAGAGGAGGCACCAACCTAGTTGGCCGGTCTGGGAGTGTTAAGAAGGCTTTCTGGAGGAAGCAGCCTCTGGGAAAAGCAAGCAGCTGGGTTTCATGGGTCAGAGTGGAGAGGAAAGGAAAGGTAGTGATCTCTGTGGAGGGAACAGCCCAGCAAGGAGGAGAGAGCGTGTCCAAAGGACAAATGTTCTCCTGTCTGCAGACCTCAACCATAGGGTGCAGATTTTCCAGATCTGCCTGTTATTATGTGCCCCCCAAGACTCATATGGTCAAGTCCTAATCCCCAACAACTCAGAATGTGACTGTGTTTGGAGACAGCATCTCTAGAGAGCTAGTTAAGGTATTAATAAAATGAGGCCTTTAGAGTAGGCACTAATCCAACATGACTGGTGTCCTTATAAGAGGAGATAGGGCCCAAGAACAGGGGACTTCCCTAGTGATCCAGCGGTTAGGATTCTGTGCTTCCAATGCAGGGGGCCCAGGTTCGATCCCTGGTCAGGGAACTAGAGTCCACATGTAGCAACTAAGAGTTTGCATGATGCAACTAAAGATATTGCATGCTCCAATGAAGAGCCGGTGCAGCCAAATAAAAATAAATAAATAAGATAAGGTCATAGGAAAAAAAAAAAAGACAGAGGAACACACAGAGGGAAGACCAGGTAAGGACACAGGGAGAAGGTGGCCATCTGCAATTGAAGGATAGAGGCCACGAAAGACATGAAGCTTGCCAACGCCCTAATCTTGGGACTCCAAGCCTCTGTAACTGTGAAAAATGCACAACTGCAACTGCTGAAGCCACCTCTGGCCTGCATACTTTGTTAGGGCATCCTGGGCAGACCAGTGCACTCACTGCCTGACTTCAAACACTCCCTCACTTCTTTCCTTCCGTTCACCCAGTTTTGGGAAAAATGAGCTCAGAATGGAGAGGGAGGAGGAAGCAGAGGCCATGCCAGCTGGGGATCAGAGACGAGGACTATTGTAGATGGGCCCTTCCCTGCCACCCACCAGCTGTTTTGCTGACTTTACCTTCTAGGGTTTGTTATTTTTTTAAAGATTTTTTTTTTTCCATGTGGACCATTTTTAAAGTCTTTATTGAATTTGTTACAACATTGCTTCTGCTTTATGTTTGTTTGTTTGTTTTTGGTTGCAAGGCATGTTGGATCTTAGTTCCCCGACCAAGGATCAAACTCACAACCCCAGCACTGGAAGGTGAAGTCTTAATCGCTGGGCTGCCAGGGAAGTCCCTTCTAGGGTCTTTCCTGAAAAACCTTTTCTAGTAGACCACTGCCATGGGTGCCCATCTGCTTTCCTTCTCCTTCAGATGCTCTTTGATTTTTTCTTTGGAAACTCCTATCTCTGTCCATGTGGTTTGGGTGGTGATAATCACACCCCCAGTCCTGTTGGCTGGATCTGGCCAATCAGAGTCACAGTGACTAGTTCAGAGATGCCACCCCATATGGGTTCAAGAGCCAACCTGGGGGATTTTCTGGAGCTTTTAGGAAGAAAAATCCACTTTCTGATCGAGTTGCAAAGCCAGTGTCTCAATTCTGTGTCTATATGTGGAGAACCCATGTAAGAATGGTACCAAGATGAAAGAAGGCAGAGATAAGAGGAAGAAGGGGAGGGGAAGAAGGAAGAGGAGAAGAGGTATGAGTCTTGCTATAGTCCTGGAAAATCAACCGAGAACACTCATTGGAAGGACTGATGCCGAAGCTGAAGCGTCAATACTTTGACCACCTGATGCGAAGAACCGACTCACTGGAAAAGACCCTGATGCTGGGAAAGGTTGAGGGCAGGAGGAGAAGGGAGCGGTAGAGGATGAGATGGTTAGATTGCACCAACTCAATGGACACGAATTTGAGCAAACTTCGGGAGACAGCCGAGGATAGAGGCGCCTGGCATGCTACAGTTCATGGGGTGGCAAAGAGTCAGACACAGCTTAGCGACTGAATAACAACAGCACAGTCCTGGACTCCTCAGTTATTCAAGTCAGTAAATAGTCCCTTTCGCTTAAGTCAGTTTCATCAGCTGGTTGGCACGTAGATGCTGATAAACTTCCTACAGTGCACAGGACAGCCCCCTACAACTATCTGCCAGAATTTACCATCTGGAATTTCAGGGTCATTTGTAAGCTTTTGGGAGCCTTCACCTTTGGCAATCAGCAGAGACCTGAACTGATATACACCCTGGCCTGTGAGATAGTCTATGCAAAGCCGAAATCAAAGCACCGTTGGAAATTTAAGCCCTACTATTAGATCCAGAGACATCAAAGGCAAAGAAATGCCACATAAGACAGAGCTTACTTTTGGAAGCCGGGTTAAATTCCAGCACTACGAGGGTGTCTGGGCCCTGGGGAAGGCGTCCTTCTGTCTCCTGGTCCTCGGGAAAATCCTTTAGCACTGAGTCCCTTCGGGAAAGAGGGGAGTCATCTCTGGGACAGCCCACCAGCACCTGGTCCTCAGGCTCCGGCTCAGAGAGTACATCTTCTTCGATAGAGTCATACTCATCACTGGAACCATCCTTTTCTTTCCTTTGTAGATTGACACTAAGTTCCAGGCTTTTTCTTAGCTCCTGCCAAAAGTCAAGAAGAGAAGGAAAAGATGAAATATGTTCCTTTGAGGAAAAACGCCTTTGAAAATAGATCACAGGAATCAAAGAACTATTTCCATCAAACTAACATTTACTAAAACCGTCTCAACCCATGTGTCATCCTCACTTTGAAGATGAGAAAATAAAGGGGCAACGAGCAACTCCCTTCTGGACGGAGCAACATTTATAGTACTAATTGTGGTTTCACAGGCTGAGGATGCCACTAAACGCGCGTGTGTGTAACAATTTTGATGTGGGGGTGTGTTAAAACAGATTGTGGAGTCCCATCCCCTGAGTTCCTGATTTAGTGGGCATGGATGGGGCCTGAGAACTTGCATTTCTAACAAAGTGATGCTGATGCTGCTGGTCCAGGGACCACACCTTGACTACGAAATCCCAAAGGTCTCCAAATGATCCTGATATTCCAGGTGGTAAAATGTCTGGCAGATGGTTGTGGGGGGCAGCCCTGTATACCGAAGGATTGTAACATTTAGTTCTCAACTACAGTTGCTTGATTTTTTTGTATGTGTTTCATCTTCATGAGACTGTGGATTCACAAACTTGAGACCACGCATTAAGATCTATGCTTATGGTGAGCAGAACATTGATCCCTGAAGCCAGGATAATTTGGAAACAATAAGGGCACTGCTGCCTTTTAGTTCAGTTCAGTTCAGTCGCTCAGTCCTGTCCGACTCTTTGCGACCCCATGAATCGCAGCACGCCAGGCCTCCCCGTCCATCACCAACTCCCGGAGTTTACTCAAACTCATGTCCATCGAGTCGGTGATGCCATCCAGCCATCTCATCCTTTGTGGTCCCCTTCTCCTCCTGCCCTCAATCCCTCCCAGCATCAGGGTCTTTTCCAATGAGTCAGCTCTTCGCATCAGGTGGCCAAAGTACTGGAGTTTCAGCTTCAGCATCAGTCCTTCCAATGAATACCCAGGACTGATTTCCTTTAGGAAGGACTGGTTGGATCTCCTTGCAGTCCAAGGGACTCTCAAGAGTCTTCTCCAACACCACAGTTCAAAAGCATCAATTTTTCAGTGCTCAGCTTTTCTTCATAGTCCAACTTTCACACCCATACATGACTACTGGAAAAACCATAGCCTTGACTAGATGGACCTTTGTTGGCAAAGTAATGTCTCTGGTTTTTAACATGCTATCTAGGTTGGTCATAACTTTCCTTCCAAGGGGCAAGCGTCTTTTAATTTCATGGCTGCAATCACCATCTGCAGTGATTTTGGAGCCCCAAAAAATAAAGTCTGACACTGTTTCCACTGTTTCCCCATCTATTTGCCATGAAGTGATGGGACCAGATGCCATGATCTTAGTTTCCTGAATGTTGAGCTTTAACCAATCTTTTCACTCTCCTCTTTCACTTTTATCAAGAGGGTTTTTAGTTCCTCTTCACTTTCTGCCATAAGGGTGGTGTCATGTGCATATCTGAGGTTATTGATATTCCTCCCGCCAATCTTGATTCCAGCTTGTGCTTCTTTCAGCCCAGCGTTTCTCATGATGTACTCTGCATATAAGGTAAATAAGCAGGGTGACAATATACAGCCTTGACGTACTCCTTTTCCTATTTGGAACCAGTCTGTTGTTCCATGTCCAGTTCTAACTACTGCCTTTACACTGGGACAAAAGTATACCCTGGACTGTCTGGGGAAACCAGTGTGTTTTGTCAGTCTAGCTGTGCTATCCCTGTAGCCTTTGTCTTAATTAACATAGATGTGAGACCATGAGGAACAATCAAGTCTATGGTTGACCATAAACTTAAGAGTTGTGTGGTAGGCTGAATAATGGGGCTTCCCTGGCAGCTCATCTGGTAAAGAATCCACCTGCAATGTAGGAGACCCCAGTTTGATTCCTGGGTCAGGAAGATCCCCTGGAGAAGGGATAGGCTACCCCCTCCAGCATTCTTACCTGGAGAATCCCATGGACAGAGGAGCCTGATGGGCTACAGTCCATGGGAGCCAAAAAGTTGGACAAGACTGAGCGACTATGCACAGCACAGCACAGGCTGAATAATGACTCCCCAAAGACGTTTAAGTCCTATCCCTGGACCCAGTGAATTTGTGAGGGGTCATGAATATATATATGGTGAGACCATATAGAAAACTTTGATCATCTTAGAGAAATCATCCTAAAAAGCCCGATGATAGAAATATGGACATCAAAGATGCTGCTGGTAAGGGTTCAGGGAATAAGGAACATGTTATTGGGAACTAAAGGGCAGAAAATCCTGTTATGTGGCAGCAGAATCTTAGCCAAACTGTGTCCTATAGTTAGGTGGTATGTGGAACTTTAAATGATACACTTGAATATTTAGCTGAAGAGAGTTCCAAGCAAAGAGTTAAAGATACAGTCTGGTCTCTTCCTGCTGCTTACAGTAAAATGCTAGAGGAAAGGGATAGACTGAGAAAAGAACTGTTAACTAAAAAGGAACTGGGATTTGATGATTTGGGACGCGCTCAGCCTATCCAGATCACAAAGATGCTAAAATTAGGAAATTCACTGTTAGAAAGTCCTGGGTATAAGTGGCTGTGGCTCAGATGATAAAGAATCCACCCGCACTGCGGGAGACCCGGGTTCAATCCCTGGGTTGGAAAGATCCCCTGGAGAAGGGCATGGCAACCCACACCAGTATCTTTGCCTGGAAAATCTCCATGGGCAGAGGAGCCTGGTGGGCTACAGTCCATGGGGTTGCAAACAGCTGGACATGACCGAGTGACTGAACACAGCACTGTTAGAAAAGCATACTCTGGAGAAAAAATGAAGGGTGTGGCTGGACAACCTTTGGTGAAAACCTCAGAAGGATCCACAGTTTAGAGTATTCAATAAAACTGAGGGTTCTTTGAAGACATGAGACATGTGACTCATGAATCCCCTTGGACAGCTCAGTGGAAGCCAGGAATAGATAGGATTATCCAGGAAAGATCTGTGGCAGAGTCTCTTGTTCACTCTCTAGAAGTGAATCCTAGAGACATACATAGGAAATTCACGTGGTTTTTGAGAATGTCATACCAGCAGAAACACTGCCAGCTTGGGCTGAATGAGAGGAAGAAAGGACAAACTAAAAGAAAGCTGTCAGACTCCCAAAATTCTACAGGCAGGAAACAGGTTGATAAAACTGTGTAGCTGCAAACACATGCTACCCTTCACGGAAGAGGAAGAAAGACTCTCAGGGTGGAGCCATGGGCCCAGAGGGTGGAAACCTGAGCCACAGAGAATTATTCCCATGCCTTGAAACCTAATGGAGTTTGCCCAGTTGGATTTCAAAACTGCTTGGGCTTGGTGACTCTTTCGTTTGTTTGTTTTCCTTTAATTTTCTGTCTATTGTAATGAGAATGTCTGTAATTGTAATACTGTGCCTGAACCACCACTGTATTTTGGAGCAGATAATTCATTTTCTAGTTTACAAGTTCACAGAGGGAGAGAAATTTTGTTCTAAGAAAAGTAACACTCATAGTCTCACTCCTACACAATTTAGATGTAAATGATGAGATTTGAGATTTTTGAGAAGATGAGACTTAGAAGATATTTTGGACTTAAGCTGGCACTATAATGAATTGAGACTTTGGGGACCCTTCAGATGGATGGATGTATTTTGCATGTGGACATGAATCTTTCAGGGCCAGAGGGCAGACTGTTGTGGGCCCCAAAGATGTCCACGCTCTCATCGCCTGGATGGTGAATGTCACCTTATGTGGCAAACAGACTTTGCAGATGTGATTAAGTTAATGATCTTGAGATGGGCAAGATTATCTTGGATATCGAGGGAGGGTCTATGTAATCCCAAGGGTCCTACTAAGAGGAGGCAGGAAGATCAGCATCAGAAGGAGAAGATATAAGGATGGAAGCAGAGGTTAGGAAGGAGAGAAGATGCTACACTGCTGGCCCAGAAGGAAGAAAGGGCACAAGCCAAGGAATGTAGGTGGCCTCTAGAAGCTGGAAAAGGCAAGGGAATGGATTCTCCCCTAGAGCTTCTAGAAGAAACATAGGTCTGAGGACGTCTTGACTTTAGACCAGTGAAGCTGAATTTGGACTTCTGAGCTCCATACCTTAAGGTAAACCACTAAGTTTGTGGTAAGTTGTTAACAACAGCAATAGGAAACTTCTCTTTTTTTTGGCCATGCCACAAGGCTTGAGGGATCTTAGTTTCCCAATCACTTGGCCAGATGGTGGCCTGGTGGCCAAATGGTAAAGAATCCACCTGCAATGCAGGAGACCCGGGTTCCATCCCTGGGTTGGAGAGATCCCCTGGAGAAGGGAATGGCTATCCACTTTAGTATTCTTACCTGGAGAATTTCATGGACAGAGGAGCCTGGCGGGCTTCAGTCCATGGGGTTGGGTTGCAAAGAGTCGGACGCGACTGAGTGGCTAACACTTTTACTCTTTTACAGTTTCTCAATCAGGGCTCAAACCCAAACCCCGGGCAGTGAAAGCCTCGAGTCATAACCATTGGGCCACCGGGGAATTTCCCAGGATGCTAATACGGCTATCTACCTCTTACACCCCTCTTCCTCCCGCCCTGCCCAATGTCAAGTATCAGTGATATTTATTGAACAAATAGAACACTGTCTGGCACATAGTAGATGCTTGACAAATATTTGCTGAATGACTAATTTATGTCAGTGACTGGGTAGGAGATGCAAGCAGGGGTGGAGAGCACCCATCCTCCCTCGGAGGTGGCATTAATGATGTGACTCATGGCAAGTAACTTAACTTCCCTGATCTGCATTTTGATATCCCTAAAAATGAGCTAAAAAATCCCAACCTCACTGAACTCTTTTATTAAAGTAGTGATGTAAACTGTGGATGATTCTGCCCCCCAGGGGATATTTGGCAATGACCAGAGATGTTTTTGGTTGGAACTAGGGGAAGGGTTAGGGTGAAAGTGAAAGAGGAGAGTGAAAAAGTTGGCTTAAAGCTCAACATTCAGGAAACTAAGATCATGGCATCTGGTCCCATCACTTCATGGCA